GGTGAGTTGGGGGTGGGTGGGGAGTGCGAGGTGGGCGAGGGGCGGAGGGAGGAGGCGAGGGGTGTTTATGAGGCGTTGAAGGGGCTTGAGGGGGGCCAGCCTAGCGATGTACGTCTCATCTCACTTCACTCAAATCTACACTGCAATTCATCTAACGTGTGTTATAGTCGAGGCATCTGGCACTGGCGTATATCGCGTACACCCTAACGCTCTACACCGAGTCGCTCGCCCATCTCTCCGCCGTACGCGATCTGGCGGAGGCACAGTCTCGCCTTCAGCCCTTTCAATCGATCCGCTCGACGCTCACTTCCATCACAACTACCTCTACCACTACCGCACCGACGTCAACATCCGCTGCACCATCGACCGCACCGTCAACCTCTACTTCGACAGCCAACGGAAACCTCGCAGCAAGCATCCTCGCAAGCGGCTTCAACTCCTCCTTCGCCTCGCTCGACACGAGCACGGGCGCGAGCGGCGATGCGGCTAGTATCGCCGATATATCGAACGGCGCGACGTGGGCCGCGGCTGAAGTGATTCGTTCTGTCTGCCTCCAAGGTACATTCTCCCTCTCCCCTCCCATTCTACTTTATGATGTGTGTACTGATGTGATGTGTCGCAGGGATGTGCATCGAAAAGCTCGAACCTTCCAACGCGCCCAAAGCGCTCGAAATCTACCTGACGGCCGTGCTCTCGCTCCCGACGCTCGAGTCTTCGATATCGGGCTCGGCGCCCGCGCCCACTGCGCAGTCGTTCGCGAGCTTTGTGAGGTATCGCGAGCTGTGGAGGTGGGCGGAGAGGTTGCTGTATCGCGCGATTGTGCTGGCGGCGCGGGTGTGTGTGTTGGGCGGCGGCGAGGCGGGTGGGGAGGGTGAGGTGGATGGTGGGAATGAGGAGGGAGAGGGAGGAGGAGGGAAGGAGGCGAGCGTGCTGTGGAGTTTACTGGCGCACTACCAGACCTGCTCAGCGCACTGGCCACCCACGTTCCGGCCCAAGCATCGAACGACGATCGCGTCGATCCACGTGCGCGCGCTCATCCTCGCTTCCCGTCTCCCCTCCTCTTCCGCTTCCTCCTCATTCATCAGTAAGAAGGAGCTGGGCAGTAAGGCGAGAAGAGTGATCAAAGAGGCGAGAGACGTTATTGGGGCTACGACGAGCTTCCCGCGGGCGGACCAGAGGAATAGTAATGTTGAGGAGCTGGTTGAGTGCGCTGTTGCGGCTTGGGAGGCGAGTGGGGCGGATGGGGTGCGGGCGGGGTGGGTCATGGACGTGAGTCTTTCCACCGGTTACATTCGCGTTCGATCACACTACGCGTGCTGAGCACTGCACTGTCCCCAAACGAACACTTTTCCCATATCATTCACACTTTCTCATTTCTCGGAATATCACATCCGCGCCGTCGAGAGCCAGTGCTGACGAGACGATGCTGGTGTGCACAGATCCTGTGGTGGGCCACCCGCCTCACATTCAACTCGCCCCTCATCTACCGCCACATGACGCGCCTCGCGCACGTCTCGTCCGACCACGCCCTCTCCCTGCGCACTTTACGCCTCTACATCAGCGTAGTCGGCAAGGCGCGCCAGGCGGGCGAGCAAGATATCGCGGATACGGATGCGAATTGGGTCGATACGTGCGTTTTGGGGGCGAGGATGCTGTGTCGGGTCGCGGTATCACCACATGAAGGAGGTGGGGGAGGGGGGTGG